TCTGTTACAACCGCTCTCTTGAGCTGTGAAGGAAAAACAAGCAAAAGCTCGATGTAAGATGCTAAGCGCTGGATATTGGAGATTTTGAGGTTATGCTACATATTGGATAGGTGTGTCCAACTGCATTGTGGGAACGAATTTTGAGCCAGTTTTCGGTGAAACCTCGAAAAAGCCAATAAAATACGCAATAGCTTCCTCACGGCCCCATACTGCCATTCGAAACAACACTGACCCAGTCCCACACAATCCTCAACATGTCCAATCAGATTCTCTTTACACACATTTAAAATTACACACATTCAACTATGACAACTATAATAAGTTACCCTGTTACGTAACACTTCAAAAAAAATAATTATTCAGCAACAAAAGGCTGCTGAAAAAATATTCTTACCAGTTTGAGCAAAAGTGTGAAGTCTTGAAAACGTGATTAAAGATTAAGGGCCGATGAAATACAAAAACAAACACACATGAAACCGAGTCCAGCATTAAAATGTATATTTGACCTTGCCTAGTCCCTAGGCCTTATTATTCCGCGCGGCCAAAGCGTTTCGGGTCACGTGGTGCAAGAGAAGATGTACGTCAGATTGTCTGTACGTCAGCGAAGTAAATTGACCGAGAGGGACTGGGAAGACGCCGTGCAGGGACTAGGCAATATTTGACCTTATTTTTGGTTGTTAACTGTTTGATGAAATCAGGACAACAGTTGGGTTTTGAGCACAGGGAGCGTAACATGTGTCTGCATTTCCCCAAAAGATGAATTTGTTCCCTACGTTAATATTCCGGGCCTCAGTGTCCAGCTTCAATTGCGGCTAAATGGGACAATTATGTCCTGCTACTTGATCCTAATGCGATAATTCTTCTTACTAGTAGAAATTACAAATTGGGAGTGCGTCCGGCATTGAGCGGTGCTAGGATAGCCTTTAAAACAGGCACTCGAAAAAAACACTATTCCCGCCAGAGAGAAGATTTTGCGGGAAGCGGTCAGCGTCGACGAGGAAACTAACCTTCGGTCTTGCTAGTTTAATTATGTGCTTTATCTCCTTGTCTGTAACAACGTCATGAAACAGGTAAAGACCTGGATCCAAATTTATCATCTCCACTTTCACTGGCTTCAAGAGTATCTCGGGACGATCGTTGTGGTAGTAGCAGAAGAGTTTGTCGCTTTCCTTTTGGCTCTGTGTAGAAAGATTATTCATTTACCTTACAGAAATGCATGAAAAGGTTCTAATTCATCTCAGAGAACTGGGGCCGAAATGCGTTCCGCAATTGTTTCTGGGAAAGTAACCGGGGACGCGCTGCATGGCCAGCTATTGGCCAATTTCTTCCCTGTCCTTAGTAACAATCCCAGACGCCTTTGCGAAAGTTAACTCGGCATAGCTCCCTTCTCGTTTCTAAAGTGCGAATGAATTAGTCCTAATCTGCATTCCCCTTTGTAACAGAAGAGAGGTTAAGTATCACGTTTACGTCAAACGGCAAACGCGAATTTGTACCACGTGGCAAAGTTTCCCCTTAACTTGTCGTTTACTGTTCATCATTTCTAGACATAAATTAGTAGTTTCCCACAATTTTTTATCCATAAGAATTGTTTTGAGTTGTTTTTATCCGCTCATTTTCCATTTTGAGAAATTCTCAACTTGATTCTGACGTTTGCCGTTTGCCGTACACGTAAATCTTAAACTCTCCAGAGAGGATTAATTACCAATGGTATCAGAGTCAAAGCTACATCTCCCTAAAACTGTTTCCCACATGATCAGTGCGCCGATGTGTATCTCTCCTCTTTATAAGCTTTAAAACACTTTCCATGCGGAGAGAATAAAATTACATCGACTTTATTTCAGTGTCAATGTATTTAGCAAGAAAGTACTTTATATCGATGACACCGCTGTTTTTTTTAGTCTTTTTATGTCTCCTTCCAGAGACAGGACTGGATAAGTAGTCATCATGGTGCCACTCTAAAGTGGGGCAGTGCAGGGCAAAGGAAGTACCTTAATTTCTTAGGTATTTCAAGATCCTGAGTTGTGACCCGACACTGGAAATGGAACCCGAGATCTCCCGCTCAACAGAATAGCTATTTACCAACATGCGGGGTTCTCAAGAAACTTTTAAAAACGTCCTCCAGTGTGTGCGCGTTTTTCTCCACTTGCCTTTCTAGTTTCCCCACGGCATAACCTCTCATAAGTGGAGGAAAATTGTCCTTTGTTATTGATTTCGTTTTTGCGCGACTTCTCTGAGTTCTCTGTCAGTGAATCGCGTTTTAACCGCTCTGCTCTGAAGTAATCTAGGTTAGTTTTAGCTTGTTCATTCTTTGGATCTGCAAAAAGCAGTTAAAAGTTATTAGTCGCGAATCCAAAATTCAAATCTGCTTGCAGAATAGAAAACTGACCATCACCTAGATCTAATGTTGAACCTGGTAGAGATGCAAGCATAACGCAAGCCGTACACACACAAAGTAAGTATACCAACAACACCGCATCAATAGAAGCACAAACACAAGCAAAAGCGTAGAGAGAAGTTTTCTTCCTGTACTATGGTGCTTGAGGACGTCTCAAGTCTCAAGTCTCTACCGTTTCTTCGTCTCAACCCCTACCCCGAACGGGCGGCCAGGTGCTAGATCCTACTTGAGGTAGTGCTTATGCGTATATATAGAGGCCGTTTGAGAATCGATGAAAACTTGCTCGCACTTATGGTGCTGTTCTAGCTAGCGAAACCATGCTTTACGCGCCGATATGGCATTGTAAAAGCTTTGTAAGGCGAAATGAAGTAGTACGCAATCCATTACCATTAAAAACTCAAAGCGTACTTTTGAAAAAATAAATGCTAACACCTTACTATTAGCTATACCTTTTTGTAGAATGTCTTTTGTGTGTGTAATAGCATCATCGAAAAGCCCAAGCTGTAAGAATATAATGCACAAATAAAAATAATAAAACTTTACAGCAACTTAATGCGTCACAGAGTCTAAAACCTCGATCTGCAGCTTGGTCAAATGTCCTGCATGTTTTTGTCTTTTTATTTCATGCGACAAGTTAGTTTAATCATACAGCAGATTTAGCAAATCATTAGGACCCAACGAAATACCGCGCAATGAAAGCAGTAGAAATAATAGCTGATGTTTGCAAATGTCATTCATTTAACCACAATTCTATGACCTCCTGATCTCATGTCGAGATTTCTCATATCTAGCAAATAAACGTTAGACGCTTATTTTGCAAAAGGCCTGGTCGCTCCCACAAGAGCGGCGTTGGGTTCAACCTCGTCCCCAGGACTTTTCCTCCCATTTTCCAAGGAAAACGCCCTGGGGACGAGTTTACTTTGGGTTAAGACAACCTCGTTTTCATGGAGATGATTCAGATGAAAGACTTCGAGAAGGATATTTGAAAATAGTGAAGGGTGAATTATGTGAAACCCTTTCTGGCCAAACAATTACAGTTCTTGACAACCTTAATGTGAAAATCAAACAATCTTTCGGCATCAAACTAACACCAGATGAAAATTGGAACTATTAGCATAGCCACTTGGCCTCAATGTTTCTGTCTAACTTTGGTTGCAAAACATAACCTCTTATTTCAAGCAGACAGACCTACCCAACCTCGTATCCAGTCCTCTAGTATTCGTCTCCACGTAAAGATGAGTAGGAGAGGACCCTGGGAACGAGGTTAAAACCTACCTTGTACTCGGCCCATGACAAATATTCCAGGACGTCAACTTTTGACAGTGCACCGCTGTATTTATAAGGCGGGCTCATACGCTTTAGTGCTTCCCTCATCCACTCGATGACATCATCGTAATTTTTCTTCGAATCACTGACGACACCCAGTTCGTAACATTCATCTGCGCCCAGTCTCCCGCTGTTGTTTCCAGCGTGCAGTTTACCGTCAGCGACTACGCATGCGCTAAGTTTATAAACCTCTTGAATGCGCAGAATCGCTGAAATGCTTCCCATGAAGTCTTGGGACGTTGGAAATGCTGGATGATTAATTCTAAGCTCCCACTGAAGATCTTAAAAATGAAAGTCACACCAAATTAAAAAAGAGTTTTTCTCCTTTTAAATATATGAACTAAAGACGGTTAAGTCGCTTGTGCATCTTTAGCAAGCCCCTCACGCTCTAGAAAATTTCCGCTTGTTCATGTAAGTCAACAATACACTCGCTCATCCATGCAGTTTTTTTTTCACTTTTTTTGCTTTACGGCCTTGGATTGAAACAAGCTGTAATATTCGCACTCACCATTTGGAGCTCCTTTTTCGAGGTAAGATCCCAGCTCTTTCCAATGCCTTACAAACCTTCTCACAAGCTGAAAAGAATTGATGGGGTGAAACACGTATCTCTCAATATCGCTTTTGGCGATTTGGCTTTCCATTCTAACATGATCGGCAAATGTTCGTATAATATCGGGAGCTTCCGATTGTTGTTCCAGGTAATTGTCGAGTGTTTTCGACAGCGCGCCTTCCAAGCGAACAAGGCCTTTGAGTTGCGAGAGCGAGGTAAATATTTCTCCGTGTATACCTTTTGCACTTATGAAGACCCACACCGTTAAAAACGTCGAGAACACCATTTTGTAGAAACACATAGATAAGACACGTGCTTTTGCGTTAAAAAGACCTGTCGAATACAACCAACACCAGGTTATATTACGAAACACAATCTTTGTCGCGGACATGCAAATTCTAAAACATTGCACCCTTGGAACTATTCCATGAGAAGTAACTATGTCTGCGCCTTTTTCTTTTACAATACTATTAAACGTCTCCTAGTTAGCGAGTTCAAAGGCTTATGGACTCGTATGAAGAAGCAAAAAGGTTTTGTAAAGACATAGATTGCTGTTTATATTTTTTTAGAAATGCTTTGGAGTTTAAACTATAAAGCAGCTAAAAATAAGTTATATAAAGACAAATGATAAAAACAACAGAGATCCAATTGAATACAAAAAATTAAGAATAAACAGCAGTAAGACATAATCTTTTTTTTCTTCTTTTATATAATGATGTTAAAATGTTTGGTCATTAATTGAATCTTTTAAGCCCTTCTTACGCACATAGTCGGAAAAAACGCCACTTTTAAGAAGACAAAACTAAATATACTTTACAGATGAATTATGTATAACTTAACGTAAAACACCCGTTGTTTTCACTTCAAAAGGAATGGAAATCCACGGCAACGAAATAGCCGACAAATATTGAATACCTCAATTGGTGATATTTTAAGGTCTAATCCTTCTTAACAACGTTTGAAAAATAGGTAGATATATTGATAGTACGTTACTGCGTCTAAATGGTTGTAAAAAAAATTAATGCATGTTTATAAACTGGTAGGAAAGGCGGTCAATCGACAGCTCCCAGCCAAAGTGAGGCCATGTAAAGCCATTACCGATCCCATGTCACCCTGCGAGCAGGACCTGATAGAGGAAGAGAAAAGGAGGATTTGCCTGAATCGCGTATTAATCAGTCTCATTCTGAATTTGATACCTTCAAATCCCTTGTCCCTTTCGAATATTTCTTCTTTCCTGCATTTCCTAAGGTAGTTACAAATTTTTGAGAGAGGGGCCGTAAAGAAACTATACTGCTGATTCAGAATCGGATCCTGCCAAATTCTTTGTCCCGTTCGAATATTGATTCCCTTCCCGCGAGTCCTAAATCCCGCACTTCAAATGAAGGTTAAACATAGATCAGTCCCG